TTGTGTGAGGAGCTGAAACAAACACTGACCATTTTCCTACTGGAACTCAGTTGATAACTTTTTGCTTTAACAGCTTGTAGCTGCGGCTGGGCGATATGACGATATGTATTATCAAACGATATAATTATATCTATCGTAAATATTTCTACTATATATTTTCTATTGCAAAAAAACAGGTAGATTGCCTGTTCAAAGCTCATATTCAGACCTCCTGCGCTCTGTGTGTATCTGATGTTTCAGTAACTATTTGAACGTTCCGTAAGCGAGGAGCTTTCAGTTATCGTGATGTTTTGAGTACAGTGCCAGCTTTACTTTCTGCCCCTATCTGTAACACTCATCTTCCCCCCCCCCTCCAGCGCTGTGATGCACTCTCCTGTGAGGCCCCTGTCTGGTGCCAGACTGCCTCAACCCATTGTTAGCCTTCATTACCCTCTTTGGCCACTCCGACTCCCCCCTTCTCTCTACTCTAGCGCCTCACACTTCCTGTATCTCCCTGTTTAGCCACGACTCCTGCACCCTTCTGCTGGCTGATCTCCCCCCTCGTCCTATTTATAGAACATGTCTTCTTTATTTTGTAAAAACATGTCTCCTCTCTTCGTCTCCCATTCTCCCTTACCCTCTCTCACACCATCACCGGCCCCCCTCTGTCCTAATCCCAGAGCCTCATGTCGCTGTCGAAGGCTAAGCCTGAGCTTATACTGCAATCCTCATTATTTTCTGTCATTAATGGAGACAAATCTCAACTTTGTGCTCTCCCAAGTTGTATCTTTGACCACCAAAATGCGTAAATGTTTAAAAATATAGAAATGGCCATCTATCATTTTGGTGCCACCTTTTATAGCCTTATTTGTTTTTAAATCTCATATCCAATGAATGATCTTAATAACCTCTGATTTCTTCTTTGTTGTCCTGTTGCAGGTAATGTTCACAGGAGAGAATATACCTGTCCACCCTCATGTGTATAGCAACGGTCACATCTGTCTATCTATTCTAACGGAGGATTGGTCACCAGCCCTCTCAGTGCAATCAGTTTGTCTTAGCATTATCAGCATGTTGTCCAGCTGCAAAGAAAAGGTAGGCAACCCGTAATGATGAATATGTAGATATTATGCTCGTTAAACGATAAATCTAAATGCCAGTTTGTTTGTTTTTCCTGCAGAGACGACCGCCTGATAACTCCTTTTATGTAAGAACGTGTAACAAAAATCCAAAGAAGACAAAATGGTGGTATCATGGTGAGTATTTTCCGCCTCACCGGGGGGGGGG